TCTTTCTTTCAGTCTTTTTCTTGCTTTTAATTAGATTAAGAAAACTCTCTGTACTTACTTTTTTATTTTCCCTAACTCTTTTTTTCTGTTCACTGACATTGGTTTTCAATTTTAATAATCATACACAACTGAGCAAAGAATAAAAAATGAGTGGACTAGAATATTTGTCAAAAGAAACCAGAGCCCCAAGTTTCAGCCTGAGACTCTTAAAGCCACTCCAGACTCCACGTTTGCTGGTTGCTGTTTACACGCTCTAAAATCCCCAGTCAGTCTCTGTTAGCAGCACTTTGTATGTTTATGAGACAAACGCCTTCCAATTTCCTGTTCATTGGCCCCTTCACCTTCTCAGGCCTGGGATTACATTCTTTAATGAATTTAATTGTTCTTTCATGAGGATAATAACATTTCTCAGTCTTTATCCGTAAATGCTTTACCCCCCTCTTTTAAAAACAATGATTAGCTGGGACATTTCAGAAACCTAAGTTGACAGTATTTTTCACCCCATTCTAACCTCATTAGTTTTGTCCCTTCCCAGTCTCTGACTTTCTAGAATTCCTATTGATTACCTATTAGACGTGATCATTCAAACCTCCATCTCTCTGCACCTTTTTGTTTGTTTGTTTTTTTGGTTTGGTTTGGTTTGTGCCTTCACATTTTGTATCTTTCTCTGAGTGCTTAAAATGCATGGTGTCCTGGGATCCATTTTCCATTTCACTAATCGTCTCTCCATTTCTGTTCGCCACACCTTTCACCTTACGCCTGCATCGATAGGTGGAGCTATCATCTACTGAAGACCTAGTCAGTGCGTCTTCAAACGTAGCTTCTTTTTAACAACATCCTTTTTTCACCCTCTGTTTTAAATTCTTCCTTTGGCTTCCTCCTCATTTTAGTCAAGCTTATTAAAATTCCTTCTGATGGTCATATTCTTGGAGTGAATTCTCTACTCTGTTGTCTTCTGACTTATCCTTCATTGATTAACTTCCTGTGTTTCTAGTGTTTTAGGATTGTTTCTAGGCTAGCCATTTTTTCAATTTAAAAATCTCTGAGAATTGAATATACGAGTACTCTATTTACAAGGTCTCTGCTCTTCCTCTTCCCCACCCCGCTCCCAGCTCCTCCCACGTGTCCCAGACGCCCTCCCAAATTCATGACTGCTTTTCCTGGAATTACTGATGTTTTACACACATACACACACATTAAAAGGCCTACCGAGTCCATTTAGCACTGGCCATAGGTACACAGGTTTGGGGTCGCCTTCACGGGTGCTGTATGTTGTGGATCCTGGCTCTGGGCTTGCTTTGTATTTTTTCAGGACTCTTGAAATTTTAGGGGGTCTCGTGTGAATTTTTACATCAATTTCTCAATTACAGGGTGCACATGCAGGGAGACTGAAAACCACCCCAGATGAGGACCAAACTTTGTGATTGAGACTCTCCTCCCGTTCAAGCCTGGGACAGACAATGAGCTTTCATTCCGATCCTCTGAGCCCTTGGAGGACCTCTGTGTTATGTGGGAGTTCGTTCACTCACCACTGCCCGCTTCACATACTACGAAGGGCACACACTCCTGAGCCCACAGTGGCGTCCCACTGGTGTTAACACAGCAGCCTGACCCCCAAGTCACGGTCCAGCTCCCCTGGCCTAAACAGTCTCCTCAGCATCGGAACCTTCTGGGCATTTACATTCCCTGGTCTCATCAGCCCGCTCACCTTCCGCCCATTGAACCTGGCACCGCACTGCTTCCGGGGTGGACGGAGCACGGCTCACACACGGTACGCGGCTTCCTTTAAGTCCCCTGACCCTATTTCCACACCTAGAAATTGCTATAGAGTACATTTTAAACCCGAAACTGTTTTACTGCTCGAATTTCTAGAACAGAAGTCGCACACTTGCAATCTTGGGATCAGCTCAACCCACAGATGTGTTTTGTTTGGCCTGGACACTTCTGGCGCACACTGTGTTTAAAAAAAAAAA